TTCACCGATTTGACCCATCAACTACACATCAACTCACAAGAAGAAGAAAAAGATAGTGAAGGAATAAAAATAATAAGGGATTTACCTTGCCAATGGCCACCACAAAACTCAAGAATTTTCACCCAATGACCTAGACGTCTCTCTCCCTCCCTTTACCTTACACGGCTGCTCAGAAAAGTTGTGGGAAAACAATATCATAATAATTAGGGTTTGTGTTTATTTTATTTATACTAGTGGTGGGCACACATAGGTCAAATAAATAGATAAATATACAAAATACATATATAAGTTATATGCAACTCAAATGGTAAAGCCTTATTTATTAAGTTTGTGGTCTAGAGTTCAAGCCACACCCTTCCCTCTATTTACTTTATTTTATTTTTAGATAATAAATCTTGCCTCTAAATTAAAGACTTTCATTATAAATTTATTTTAGGTTTAAAAATTAACTAAAAGATCCTCCAATAATATTTAATTTGTACCTTAGAATTCACCACCAAAATATTTGAGATTGTAATATTATTATTTAATTATTTACTTAATTTTTATATTCGGGTTCTCACAGCCTGTATGCCCGAGGGTGTACTGCGTAGAATCTCGGCTAATCCTAGGTTCAGGCCCAACCAGTTGTTCAGCTCGGCTACCTTGTTTATTATTCTGAAGGTGTTGGTTGAGACTTGTGTTGGTGCTAGTCCAGTGCGCCTCAGGAACTCGCACATTAGAGGCTGAACCAGGAAGCGAAGGCCGCCTTTGATTATGGAAAGCACGGTGAAGGGGCATTGGTCTAGTCTGCCTCATGGGTTGGTGTCCTCGACACCGAGCTCGAGATGTACATCTACAGGGACGCCATATTCTTTCCGGAACGCGGCTAGTGCAACTGGCATGTCAACAAGGAAGCGGTAACACCCTCATGTGAAGCCGGCCGATCTCAGCGCGGCAGTTTTGCTTGGCAAAATTTCGTACGAAGGCAGCTCGGCCTTTTGAAAGCCTTGGTGTTGGTGCTTGGTCCCCTAGGACTCTGCAGTAAAAGTAAGTGTAAGTGGAAGTGCAGTTGCGCAAAATGAGCTCGACTTTAGCTTGGTCAGATGGAGTGCCAGACCATCTCGGTCATAGAGGTATACCCTAGAAGCTCAGCCGTTCAAGCGGACTAGATATTAGCCCGATCGAGCGGTCCAATATTCTGTTACCTCGGTTCCTACACGAGCCTTGCAAACTCGCGACTTGCTCGGTTTTGGTGTTTTTTAGGATCAAAAGAAGACCTGGAGCCCGGTCCGCCTCAGATTCTCGCGTGTTCATCACAGAAGATGACGAACAGTAGAAGGAGAAGGGGTAGAGGTGATTTTTTGGGGCTACGTCCTAAAGCCTACCGCTAACGTGCCCTAAGCTCAACTATGGCAATCACAGCCTTGGGATAAGTAACAAATGAAGAACAATGGAGGGTTGAGAACTTATAGGCAAGGGCGCCGATGGAGGCTTCAAGCAGTGGGACGAGGGCCCTCAGCGACGACGATGGTATGGAGCGTGCTGGCTTGGGTGCTCTGATCTCAACGAGATGAGTATGGCATAGGCTCTTGATCGCAGGTTGGTTTTTGCAGAAGAGGATGAATAGCGGAGAAGAAATAAATAAGGGGCAAGCAATGGCTTTAAAAAGGCAAAAGAAGCGCCAAAATTCGAATGTGAAGAGGCGGCAGGGTTGGAAGTTCAAGGCTAGTGAGCGAGCGACGCGTGTGTGTAATGACTGTGCATCAGTATTGAAAAGATGGGTTGGTAAGTTGAGGCGCCAACTGAGCAAGTCAAAGGATCGAGCATCGGGCTTAGCGCGGTTGAGGTCTTGCGGAGTAAGGCCGGGTGGAGAATCGACCTCGGTCGGATCATATAATTCCAGTCACGCTTGAGCGGACGGAATTAAGGGGCAATTGAGAGGGGGAATTCTTAATTGGACCTGCAACCGTGGAAGAGGTCGGGCAGGAAGAGGTCCGAGCATGTTTGGGCCGAGCTAACCTAGGCCAATCCTGGGTTAGTTTGCTCGGTTGAAGTCCCGGGGCCCATACAATCGAGATGGTTTTCTGCCAGCCCGAGCTTTATTGTTCGGACATTTAGCTCAACGAGAAAGGTCTTCTGCGGACCGGCCTGGTTTGGTTGGAGCGCGGTCGTATCGGAATGCTACTGAGCTCGGTTGTGATAAAGCCCGGCGAGGGACTTAGTCGAACTCGTTAGGTAGCACGGTCGTAGGAGGCCGGGATAATGTCGTCGGGCTGCTCGTTCCCGCCAATGCTGTTTGGCGGTTGATTAGGTACTGTTTGGCTAAATTTGCGCTGACAGATGGGAGAGCGTAATGGGAGAGCGTGATAGGAGAGCAGCTCCACGTGTCAATAGGCGAATGGGGGTAGAGGTGAATGCAGAAAGTATATAAGCATGACTGCGCCCCCCATGCTGGGAATGGAACATCATCTGGTGAGAGATACTCGTCGTGATTCACTCTCTCTCTCTCTTTTCCCTTTCTCTGTGAGTGTGTGCTAACTTGACCGTCGGGGGGGTTTTCCGGCAACACACCACCGGGTAGCTCACCTTCCTTGTGTCCGCAGGACAATCGGAGGAAGACACAGCTTGGACGCGAGGAGTACGGGTGGTGTCAAATATTTCCTTCTCGTACAGGGGGCAAGCAAGCAATCTTTTTCACTGAATTCTCTCTTTCTTGAGAACCAATCCTCTATAAAAGCAACACAAGCTAAATAAATGTTTGCTTCCACTAGAGAAAAGGCAAACCATAATCATTAAACGGAAAATACAAATTGTTTCTGCATTGGCATTAGGCACTTAACTAAGGACTTGGCAACTACTTTCATGAAGTGGACATATGCATAGTTATGTAAAACACAGAGAAAAGAATTTGTGGGGAAGGGGGGGGAGAATATAGAACAATTAAAGATTGGTTTGAATAAACTAGAGTGCTCCTAAAAGTATAGACATTAAAGACTGGAAACTTTAACTGTGGACAGTCAAAAGTCCAAAACAATTTTAGCAAACTAGTCCTAATTGACAATTTTTTTGGTAAGCTAATTATGACACATAGCTCTTTAAGAAATTAGCAATGATAGAGGAAATATCACAAAGGCATTAAAAATACCATTTCTAAAAGAAGTAGCATGAGCCAATAGAGGAAATAGATCAAAAATGGCTGTCAATTCCCCTTGGAAGCTCCTTTTTGTTACAAGTCCAATCGTAAATTTCTCAAATGGCACCAAACAACCCCAAAAGGAACATATATTATCTATTATAGGAACCTAATCAAAATACAGTACGGGAAATTGGGCACCATGCCTAGAGTTCTAAATCTTTCTCTAACAATAAAATTAATAATCGTTTTACATAATAGGAGAATCCTAGTTCGTACAACTTTAAAAGAGGTCTTTGCAGTTAGTAGTACATATTTCCAGCACCAAGAACATATATTCAGAAATTATTACTGCTTGATGGTGTCTATGACACAGTAAAATAAAGTGTGAAGAAGTCATGGAAACTGTCAATGTTGCCAACATTCTAAAGCCTACAATTGTTTTGTGTGTGTGAAATTGTGCATAAAATGTAGAATTTGAAGAGATTTTGTGATTGAATTGAACCTTGTGTGAGGAAGAACTAAAATAGAGTTGAGATCGCAGGCCTTGTTGATCTTCAACTTCATTTAAACCAACACTTAAAACCTTCAAGATTTGAACCAAATGGATTTTTATAGTCACACAAATACAATCAAAGTCCTAAGAATCAATTAGTAAATTGCATAGAGTTTTAAATTTGGAGGGGAAAAAGAAAGAAATAGAAAACAAAAATTACTTTTGTGAAAGTTAAGAAAGTTGATAGGGTGTTTTAGCATGACCATCGACTTTCAGCATAAGAAGAAATTCATCAAATAGACTCAATGAACCATGAGCAAAACAAGAAATATAACCTTTCTTTTATGTTTCCCACATGAAGTTACTTATCTGAGAGCCTATTTCTCTCCATGGAGTTTGTGAAGGGTGGGAGTGGTGAAGATTGGGTAAAAATTAGAATAAAAAAACATATACTAATCTCCAATATCAACAACATTGACAAATCAAATATATTTGCATTACACAAACAAAAAGGAAAGGGGTTTAAAAGACCACTCAAATAAAAGCTATGAAGCACGGACACCTCTCTGAGGGCTCCGTACCAGTGTCAGACACGTGTCGGACACGGACACGCGTCGGACACGCGGTGGACACGTGTCCGACACGCATGGGAGAGTGTCCCAATTTTTTTTAATTTTTTTACATCCGGACACGTTTTGGACACGTTATAGACACGTTTGGGACACGCGCGGGGGTAATTTCACAATTTACTAAATTTTTTTGGGATCAATTTGAAAATAACCAAAAACAGATCAAATTTGCCCTAATCTCTATTCGCCCTAATCTCATCGAATCGACTATGTAATAGAAGATAAACAGCTGAGAAAGAGAGAAAGAGAGAGGACCTGACTTCGTTGTACGTCGTCTCTCGTCGATCGTTGCTCCTCGTCGGTCGTCTGTCGTCGGTCGTCTGTCGTCAGTCGGCGATCTTCAGTCGATTTGCTGCTTCGTTAAGGAAGGTACGACTCTTCTTCGATCGCTCCCTCTCTCTTCGATAGCTTTCTCTCTCTGTCTCAGCCTCTTCTTTCTTTTATTTCTCTCTCTTCGATAGCTCTCTCTCTCTCTCTCTCTCTCTCTCTCAGCCTCTTCTTTCTTTCTTTTATTTCATTTTTTTTTCCTTTTATTTTGATTTTGATTCTGATTTTTATTTTATTTTTTTTCTTTTATTAATTTAATTTTTTCTTTTCTTTTTCTTTAATTCTGATTCTGATTTTGTTTTATTTTTTTTTCTTTTCTTTTATTTTTTTTATATTCTGATTTTATTTTTTCTTTTCTATTATTTGAGGATATAATTTTAATAATGTATGTTTATTAATTTTATTATAGGGACCAATTATTAATTCTGAAACAATGGCTACGGGTGGTAGTTCTAATGATATACCTGATGATGATTTTGATGAGAAGAAACCATTGTGGAAGTATATAACTAAATTAGCAAAACCTGGGAAAGGAGGAGGAAATTGCCAATTACAATGTAAATTTTGTAATAATACTTTCAAAAGTTCATATACAAGAGTAAGGGCACACTTGTTAAAACTCCCAGGAAAGGGAATTGGTGCTTGTAAGAAAGTGACAAGTCAAAAACTTTCACAACTACAAAATGAGAATGATGCTGCTGAGCTGAGAATTAAAAATGCTCTTCCAAAAAATGTACCATTGCCTCCTTCCATTGTATCAGTGGGTAGTAGTTATGCTTATGAATCAAAGAAGAGGAGAACATGTGAGAGTGGGAGTGGGAGTGCGCCTGGGAGTGGGAGTGGAAGTGCTATTGAGAAAGCATTCAACTTGAAGGATAGAGAGCAATTGCATTTTGAAATTGCTAGGATGTTCTACTCGGGGGGGGTACCTTTTAATCTTGCAAGAAATCCTTACTATGTTAGCTCTTACACATTTGCTGCAAATCATAATATTCCTGGATATTTGCCTCCCGGTTATAATTTGTTACGAACCACATTACTTCAAAAAGAGAGGGCAAACATTGATAAATTGTTGCAACCAATTAGGGGCACATGGAAGGAAAAACGGGTGAGCATTGTTAGTGATGGTTGGAGTGATTCTCAAAGGAGGCCTTTGATTAATTTTTTGGCGGTGAGTGAAAGTGGGCCTATGTTCATTAAAGCAGTTGATTGTTCTGGAGAAACTAAAGACAAATATTTCATTTCAAATTTGATGAAAGAAGTGATTAATGAGGTTGGGCCAAGTAATGTGGTTCAAGTCATCACGGATAATGCTCCTAATTGTAAGGCAGCCGGACAACTCATTGAAGGTCAATTCCCTCATATTCTATGGACTCCTTGTGTGGTGCACACATTAAATCTAGCTTTGAAAAATATTTGTGCCGCAAAGAATATTGAGAGGAATGAAGTCACATATGAAGAATGTAGTTGGATTACTGATATTGCCGGAGATGGTTTGATGATTAAGAATTTTATCTCTAATCACTCAATGTGATTGGCTATGTACAATGAATTTGTGTCATTGAAGTTGCTTTCGGTTGCCGAAACACGATTTGCCTCCACAATTGTTATGCTCAAGAGGTTAAAGCTTATAAAACGTGGTCTTCAAGCAATGGTAATTAGTGACAAGTGGAATTGCTATAGAGAGGATGATGTTGGGAAGGCAAAATTTGTGAAAGAAAAGATTATGGATGATGTGTGGTGGGATTACATTGATTATATTCTTTCCTTCACGGGTCCTGTATATGACATGCTTAGGGCTTGTGATACGGACAAACCTTGCCTTCACTTAGTATATGATATGTGGGACTCAATGATAGAGAAAGTGAAGATGTCAATTTATAGGCATGAAGGGAAAAGAATAGATGAGGAATCTACATTTTACAATGTGGTGCCTCAAATTCTCGTGGATCGTTGGAATAAAAACAATACTCCTCTCCATTGTATGGCACATTCATTGAATCCAAAGTAAGTACCACATTTAAATTTGTTTTACATATTTCATTTTAATGGACTTATCTAGTATTTCTTGAAATATTTTGGATTGTAGGTATTATAGTGATGAGTGGCTCCATGAGGATCAAAATAGAGTTCCTACACATAGGGATGAAGAGGTGACACGTGAGAGGAACAAGTGTTTTAAGAGGTATTTTGAAGATATCACGGAGCGAACCAAGGTGATAACTGAGTTTGAAAAATTTTCGAGTTATGTTGAAGCATTCTCAGAGCATGATTCCATTCATAATAGGTGGCACATGGATCCTTATACTTGGTGGTGTGCATATGGTGCATATGCACCATCTCTTAAAAAACTAGCTTTGAGATTGTTTGTGCAACCTGCCTCTTCATCTTGTTGTGAGAGAAATTGGAGTACTTACTCCTTTATTCACTCAGTGAGAAGGAACAAGATGGTCCCTCAACGCGCGGAGGATTTGGTGTTCATTCATAGCAATCTTCGTCTTTTATCAAGGAGGAGCTCCCAATACTTGCAAGGAGAGACAAAAATGTGGGGTATTGCCGGAGATAACTTTGACTCACTTGATGATATTGGAATGCTTGGGATAGCTAACCTCTCACTTGATGAACCGGCTATGGAGGCGGTCCTATTTACAGATGAAGGAGAAGATGGAGGCGGTGGTGAAGATGTTGTAATAGTTTCCTCTACTTAGGTTGATATTTATGGATTTTGTAATAGTTGTTGGTACATTGGATAATTTTATATTTTGTGGTTTGATTTTCATGCATTTTGTAACAAATGATGGTTGGTAGCTTCGAATGACATGTTATGTATTGATGGAATGCTATTTTATGTTAATTGTGAACGATATATATGATGTTAAATCAATTAAATGTTTATTTTTTATAATTTTAATAGTGTTATTTTGTATATTTTATTACCTTTATTTGATTTTTTTTAATAATTTTATGACATATAATAAATAAAATTAATTATATATATTGAACGTGTCCCCGGCGTGTCGTGTCCCCTATTTTTTAAAAATTTGTGTTTTTGCGTATCCGTATCGTGTCGCGTGTCCGTGTCCGTGCTTCTTAGAATAAAAGAAATGCAAAGTTTATAATCAATAGGAACAGGTAGCAAATCAACAATTTAAATTCTGCCAAATTTGTTTAAAGGCAACCTTTACAGATGTTAGACTGTGGACGGAAAAACAAAGCCCAATAAAACATGTCAAAATTGTACCAACTTGTTGGTACATTTTTTAATTCAAGCAAACCTTTTGCAGCACTTAACAGATCATATAGCAACTAATAAATTTTTGTTATAGCTAATCATAAGCCTGTTATAACAACTAATAAAATAAACACATTTTTTGCTGGATGCATCAAGGAGCTAGTTGTGCTGAAAATATTGCACAACTGTGCTGAAAAGTAAAAAAATGAAGGAAACTTTAAAATCTCTCTAAGGCCTTGTAGAAGTCTGGTTTTTCCTGATGAACAATAATATAGATCGAGTGCTAGTGATAAGAGATTACGCTTACACTACATTAACTTTTCGTTCATCAAATTGCAAACAAGTCATATAAAGATGGATAATTTGGAGCCAAATGTAAGAAGCAAGGCCTGGAAATATCTACTATCTAATATGAAGACTACCAAGAATGGTTCAACAACTTGCAAAAGAGGTATTCATGCAACTTTCTGTTGATGAATGGAAATATACTTGGTTTCCATATAATAGAGTTCAGCGTAACAGAGTGAATTCATATTATTTTGGAAGCGTGTCCTGTGTAAGGTAACCACTAACAAAAAGAAACAATAAACAAAAGCATCAAATCTCTCTACATTTGACTCAGATGCACCTATTCAAAGCAGCATCAAGACAAAAAATGCAGCTAGCTCCAGAGATCTAATCAATAAACAAAAGCATCAAATTTCAACGTCGATACAATATATCATTGATTCTGAAATCAATCAACTCACAGCATTGCCGAGAGCAACGACATTGAGGAAAGTGGAAGGGCGGTGCAAGGACGATGAGTTTTCGTCGACATCTTCGTCGGCAAGCAAAGCAGATGCTTGGCGCATCGAATCGGCGAGCTGAGCATTTGTCGATCGCGCCCATTGACTAGATGAATTAAAAAACTCGATTAGAGAGAGAGAGAGAGAGAGAGAGATGATTAGATCGAAAGAGGAGGAGGGATCGAAATGTATGCAGAGAGAGAAAGAAACCCTAGGTTGATACAAGATGAAAATGATGATGGAGAGAGACCACCGATGATATTTGTGTTGTTGAGTTGTAGATGGTAATTTGCTAGACAAAAAAAAAATTATGCAAGAAAAACAAAAAAACAAACAAACGGTGAGATAAAATTAATGTTAAAATTTGTTAATTAAAAATAAGTTTTTTTTTAAAAAAATAAAATTAATGTTACAAAAAATAGTTCATGTTTGTGTGTGTAGCTTTTTTAGGGGTTGTTTGGGAAGACCTAAATAAGTGTACTTTTTGTCTTTTTATGAAAAGATGTGCAGAAAAGTAGAGAGGTGATGTGATAGAAAAAGATAAAAAGATAGATTATTTTTGGATTGCCAAACTTGCCCTTAGTAATTTTTTAGACAAGCTTTAAAGTTGTTTTTTTTTTTATAAAATTATAAATATACCCAAATAAGTCTAAAAAAATTATAGCAAAACTAGAGAGAGAGAGAGAGAGAGGGTTTGAGGCAAAACATGTATAGATAGAATGAGAGGAAGATTGGTGAACGGGCCTTAAACTAATGTTTTTGAGATTTTTTGTTTTTGTTTTAGTTATTGTACGTTTTTAAATATTTGAAATAATTTTTTTTTTACATTTTAAATTGAAAAAATTTACATATACTTAGAAGAAAAATATTTTTTTAATTTTCTAAAAAAAATACTAAATTCAAAAAATATAAAATTTAATACAATTCATATGTATTATATTTTTTTATAAATATTTTACTTTTTAACTGTATCTAGATTAGGCACATCTAAAAAGTAAAAATACACTAAATTATAAAATAATGTATAAATTATTTTTTACGTTGTCCTCAATTAGAAAAATTTAAGGTGAGAAGCTTGGCTAGAAATTGTCAGTTATTTTAAATAAAGGAAAAAAAATTAGATTGAAATTTTTTTAGTAGTTAGGAAATGTAATATGAACCATTGATGATGCCATGTAGGACAAAAATATACACAAATTCAAAAATCCTTTTGCCATATTATATAGATTTTAGATTGTGTATTGTTGCATTTTATTTTAGTCTTGATATAAACATGTTGTAAAAAATAATTTAGGGATTCCTTTCTAATGATTTTCCAGTCATTGAGGCCCACTTAATTTATAGGGTGGTGATTGGATTATTATTGTAAGTTAAATCTCTAAATTATTTTTTCCTTCTTTCTCATACTTCTTCAAACCCTTGTTTTGTGGATGGTTATTTTGGATGGATGTTTTTATTCAATAAGAAAAAAAAATTTTAATCAGCAAAAAAGAAACTTTATTGATGAAGAAAAATTATAACAGAGGACTTACATCAATAAAGAAGGGCGGTGCAACAAGCATCATAACCACACTCAACAATCCCAACTAGATTGGTACCGAAGAGATAGCTCAATTATATACTAGTACTACACCCATGATTGGAGAGGATCCAATCAGCTAGCCAAGAATAAGGAAACAAAAAAGAAAAATACACGAAACACCTAAAATAAACACCCCAAGACTAACAAAATTCGTGTTGTAGCAGTTCAGCACAAAATTGCACCTTTTCAGCACAGAATTACTCATTTTCAGCCAACTGAGGTGAACTCCCAACAGCAACATCAAACCAGCATCAGCTCAACCCATACCCAGCCCCCTAACAGCAATAGAGCACATTCTATCCAATGGGCATCAATGTAACACAACCTATTAGTTCAGCACAGCAAGACAGAAGCCACAGCAGTTCAGCACTCCACATTACAGCAGTTCAGCCAATATGTAGTCAGATTTCAGCTTCTAGCTTGATGGCTATTGCACAAGCATACACCGATGATCCTTCACATAACACAAACACCAAAGCAAATACACAAACCAAGAGACCAAGACAACAACACAGTAGACCAAACACCCAATCTTATCACAGTATCACAACACCAGCCAGCATCAGCTGAGCAGACCAATTCTACAATTGGCTGAGCAGACCAACCACTGAGTAAGACCAACATAGCAGACAGCAGCTAAACATATCAGACCAACCACTATCAGACCACCATAGCCATCACTGCTAACAGCATACAGAGCATAGCATCAAAACCCCTCCTCTGCTTCACCCAACACAGACCCAGCAGAGCAGAAGAGCAGTGCATCCAGGCTCCACAAGGTAGTTACAAGCATCTTCTAACTTGTTGAATGTTGTAAACAAACTCATCCACTGCATAACCTTGCCCAAATGAATGAGCTTCCATCCATAAGGCTACTCTAGTTTTAATTAACTCACAGAGGTCTTCACAGATGGGCTACAAATTATTAAAGAGGCAGTCATTTCTGCATTTCCAGAGGGACCACAGCCCAACAATTAAAACCGATCTCCATAATTGTTTCTCCCTTTTCCTATAAGTCCAACCAAACCACGAGTGCATAAGCATGACCACAGTACTAGGGAAGGCCCATTGCAAACCCCACCATTTGATTATGAAGGACCGAACTTTCCAAGCAAAGGGGTAAAGCAAAAGAACATGATTGAGTGATTCAACCTCCGCATGACAAAACATACACTCATTACTAACTTCAACACTTAAGGCACCAATTCTATGCAGATAATCTGAGGTCTTTAACCTCCCTTTCCATACTAACCAAGAGAGAAATTGGGCTTTAGGGGGAGAGGGATTATGCCAAATCAGATCAGGAAGCTTTAGAGCAGGACCAATAACAGATTCACACCAGTTAACAGCATGTTTAACAGTAAAAATGCCTGCAGGGTCAGCTTTCTACAAAATAGTGTCATTAGAACCCAAATTCAAAACAGGGCCCTCCCCTAGAACATCATGAAGCCTCAGAAGTTCATCTTCATCCCATGCAAATAGAGGTCTTCTGAAATTAAATGCCCAGATGTGCTGATTTCTAGCCCTAGATCACAACATATGCAAAGATATGTCCCTTTCCACTGATAGGTAGTATAATCTGGGAAATTGGGATTTTAAACAACTGGTTCCCAACCAATTATCGACCCAGAACCTGAGTTTTTCACCATTACCAATCCTGAGTTCAGCATTGTACAAATAATAGTTAAACAGGCTAATGTTAGATTCATTAACAAGGATGATGTCACTCCACACTCTTGAGAAATTGGTTGCCTCCGCTTGAAAGGGAAACCACCTTCCCCCTTCTGACTTATACTTACTGCAGATGAGTTGTTGCTATAAAGAGTTGTCTTTCCTCCCAAATCTCCACAACTACTTAGCAAGTGTAGACATCCCCCGAACGCCCCGGGAGGGATGAGCTCCCGTTCTGTTCATTTGGGGTCACTACAGCTCAGGACTCTCAAATTTGTCACGGTTCTAAGTCTGAACCAAAGAGTCTAAATCCGGCAAATCGTTTTGAGAAAACAGATTTTTGAAAGAAGTGCCAAACATGGACTGTTTTGCCAGATACAGAGTCGCCACCTAAATGTTTTATTTTGGGGAAATTTAGGAAACCCTGACTCGTTT